CTCACCTGTTTACCGCCGCTCAGCCGGCCGGACTTGGCACCCCCCTTCCCACCGCTCGACGGGGCCAGCATGGGCAAGAACCCGGCCTGCATCTTGGGCTGGATGCGGTCCCTCGCGTCCTGGTAGCACATCGGCCCGAGCTGACAGTCCCTCCCTTCGAGATCGAGAGAGGAGATGACGTCCGCCTTGTGATCCTGGCAGAACACCTTCAGATGAAGATCGAAACACATACACATAGTTTATGTAGGCGAAAAAAATATTACTTCAAGTACAGACTATTGGGGGGATTGATATCTACCAAGGATGAAACATCTAGATAGCACCATTCCAAGAGTGGAAATTTGCGAGAACGTTAGCTATCTTTGTACGTGTGGCTGGTGAACAGCGCCCGATCGGGAACAATCCCACCCCCCGCCGCGAGTAGAAAATACGAACACAGTGGGAGGACGACAGGCCAGTGCTTCAACAGTAATTTGGAAATATTGTGACTGCAAAACCATAAACAAGCGAGCACTCCTGCGGCTCTTGACCGCTGTATCCGTGTGGCTGTCTCGCGCAAAGGCGTGACCGAGGCAGGTCACTGGCGTTTCTTGGCCCCGTTGAGACGAGACTGTTTGTCGACGGTCTGCCAATCAGTGACGCCAATGGCAACCAAAACACAAACACGTTCTCAGAACTATATTCCGGGGACCTTGATTGCCCCCTGACACTGATGTCTCTTTCCTCGGTAACATACGATTTCAGCGCGATCGACGCTACCAAAAATGAAGAACACACACATAGGCCCATGAAGAGAACGCGTGCAAGAATAAGTTTTGGTTCTCCCCGCCGTACGACTGATGTGCTTCCATTGGTCAGCCGGTTACAGCGACCGATGCACAAGTCGCCCCGGTGGTCTAGTGGGTAACCTCGCAGCCTGCTAAGGGCCAGGTCATGGGTTGGAGTCCCGGCAGAGTGAGTTTTTTTCTCACTAAATAAATCCTGGTCTAGGATGAAAGCGACGCGTTGCAAAGCTCGTTGTTAGTAAACCATGATCGACTTCGTAAGTCGCGAGGGAAGGGATTGCTGTACCCTTCTCGCGATAAAAACACCTCAGGCAGGAACCGCAGGAGGGGGTCCAGCCCCCGCCTCCTATGCGACCCCGGTTGGGTCGTCTAGCTAGTAGAAGTGGAGGATAGGGACCAGAGGGGCAGACGACAGAGTCCAATGATGGGAGAAAAAAGAAGCAAAAAAAACTCACACAAAACACACGCATACCGTGTGGCCGAGGACCCCTGAGGGCAAGAAGGCGGCGTCAACCGCTAACCTCAACATTGACATGCCGTCAGTCGCCGCCGGAAAGCACGATGCAGTGTGCTACAGCAGCAGTATGGCAATAAAAGACATCACACAAGCCACGCATACACGCAGCACCCACTTACGTGCAGGTGGCTCTGAACCGAAATCGATCGGTTGATGATCCCTCTGTCGGAGTGGATGAGGCACCAGGGGTGGTAGGAGAGGAGGCACCGCCCCCCTGCGCACTGGACGCAGGTGCCCTTCTGCCCGCACAGGAGGCACTTGAGAATCTTTCGGCTCTTCTCGATGAAGTCCAAGTTGACAGGGTTTAGCTCCTCGGAGGTAAACCTCACCTACGATCGCAGAGACCACATGCAATGCAATGTGTCAGCGCCAATGAGAGTTGGCATTGTCATGTCAGGCGGCATTCAAATAGTCGCAGAGACCACCAAACGTGGCTGCGTAGCGTAGTGTTGGTCTTGAACGGGAGTCTTTTGCCGCGAACGGGGTATGCCCCCCCAACCACAAGCGTGCCCACCTCTGGTATCCACAAGGAGCAGCTGACGTGCACCCACAGCTTCTCTCCGTTCTTCCCGTTGCCCAACACTTGCTTCATCGCGCCGCCCTTGCTCAAGTTAGTCTCCTTACACAGCTCGCATACCGTAACGGACGCGTCCTGGAGCGGTGGGTGGGTCGGTGCAAGCGAGAGGACGATCGGGCGGATGAGTCAACATCACAAAACAAAAGAGAGGAAAAAATCAAAACGCGAAAGCGACGACTACTGGACAAATCGATAGAGGTAGGTACACACGCAAAGTCTAGCACATACGGCAACGTCGAATTCGCAACCACTTTGCGAATGGTGCATGGTACTTGAAGCCGAAACATATTTTGGACAAAAAACGGGGTGTAGCTTGTACTCTGTGACGCAACACACTTCAAAGCAAGTGCATACCCACCACCACTTTCAACATTCATAACACCTGACCCCCCCCCCCCCCNCCCCCCCCCGTCCGTTCTCTCTCAAAGACAGGCTTGCTCACTTCTCCGGTCTCACAGACGTCGCAAAGCCAAGAGGTCCCAGCATCCTCGCGGCAGGCGTAGCAGTGTTGGTGAACGCGAACTTTGCACCTGCAGGCAATAGCGGCCGCGCGCCCGTAATAGAAAAGAGATACAAGCCGACACACGAATGGACGCCATGATTGAATGAGAGACGAGGAGTGGATGGGGGAGAAACTATGGAACGGATAAAGAAACGCAATGGGAAAAACAGTGGAAGAGGGAGAGAGAGAGTGAGCGAGGGAGAGAGAGATGCGTTCACGAAGCTTACTTTTCAAGTCAAGAAGACGGGACACTAGGACGTGCCAAACGACACAACAATAGAGCGAACGGAAGACCGGCAGGTCGATGTCTCCTTGATACATGCTGCAGATTGCAAGTGTTGTCAACGCGAGCATTTTACTGCCGTGTCCTTTGCGGCCGCCATGTGTTTTACAGTAGGTGACGTTACGTATCACCCCCCTGGACCGACTTCCAAAGTTCGATTACTCCACTGCAGAAAGAGTGGCGGTGTTGGAAATGACGGCGTTGGAACCGTCTATTACAAGCAGCATAGTCGAGAGCTTTCTGGAACATGTGCATCCCCGCTTGATACTACAATGACGGGTCTAGACTACTTTTCGTGGAGTAGTGAAGCACAAAAGAGCGGTCCGGGTATCATAATATTGTCACCTACGGCGATAGGTGACCCATGCTATGCATAGTGGCCAGCCGTGATGTTATGGCCTTAACTCTGTTGGGGTTGTAAGCGGGTGAGTTTCCATAGCTGCTGCTCACTATCGCCATCAACTACTGCTGCAGCTGCATGTAGAGGTAGTCTAGATGCGTTCTTGTCTGCGGCAGTGTGTGCTGCAGAATCGACAAACGTCAACGAGTCGCTCTTGGCGCAGCAAACACCAAAGCTACGCTGGTCGGTTAGAAAACCGAAGAGGGTGCCGATGTGCCAATGCCACCACGCTCGTACGGCAGCTCAACACCGATGCTTGTATCTTCACTCCCTCCCTGGACTGTCCCATGTTGAAACAGCATGAGCAGCGGTGGTTCTCTGGTACACCCATCGCAACATCTCAACAGGTCACCGACACAAAAACTTGGCGCTGCTCGTAGATGAGCTGGTCAGCACGGCGTATGCCGACTGTAACAAAGGACACCCACACACAGCAGCAGTTATTACACCGGGCGCGCACGCGGGAAACATGGGCACAGCAGCAGCCAGAACAAAAATAGAGCCACCCCAACCCCACACACCTGGCGCACTGCATCATGGGGTTCCTGTCGTAGTCCTGCTCGTCCATGCACACGTTGCACGCCATCCTGTCGTCGATCGGCTTCCAGCCCTTGACAACCGTCCCGTGCTTGCTCTTCCTGCTGCCCTTGGACTTCTTGCTGCCGCCCGAGGCCTTCGAGGACGACGACCCTCCGCCGCTCTTGCTGCCGCTCTTGCTGCCGCTCTTGCCCCCGCCGCCGTTGGCGGAAGAAGTCGCGCCGCCTCCAGAGCGGGCGGGCGACCGCGATGCCCCGCCGCCGCCACCTCTGCTGCGCCCGCCGGAGGGAGCAGCGGCGGCAGTAGCGACGGCAACGGGCGTGGCCGGCGGCTCACTGGTCGGTATGGCAGGAGAGCCCGCCGTCGCCGCCGCCGCCGCAGGCTTGCCGTTGGTCAAAGTGGTGATGACCGGTTGTTGTTGCAACCATGCTGGTGGGGGCGGAGCGTTGCTGGCGCCCACTGGGGAGGCCAAAGATGACGACGACGGAGGGCTACGGCTGCGTGCTCCTGCTCCCGCAGCCGCCACCGCCACTTCAGGCCCGGCCTTGCTGGCGGTAGAAGTCGGGCTGCTGCTGCTGCTGCTGCTGCTGCTGCTGCTGCTGCTGCTGCTGCTCCGCGAGGTGGTGTCTCTAGCTCCTGCTGCTGCCGCCCCCGAGGATGCACCGCTACCACCATCGCCACTACCACCACCACCACCACCAGCTGGAGGAGGAGGACGGGGACGTGGCCCTCCCTCCGCCAGGTCCATCGCCCTGCAAACTGCTGTCAAGCGCGCTCTGCGAAGCACGTGCTGCTTCCCTCCGCCGTGTTGTCGCTACTGCTGGTTTGGATGCCGCCGCCGGTTCGCTACGAAAGGGTCGAGACAGCAGCGGCAATGGGATGGCGTGTGATTACGTCGTAAATTCACCAGGATGCGGGTGGAGTGAACGAAGGTAAACGGGTCAATATAGCTCCTGGGACAAGTGTAGACGGGCGTGGGCGGGCGTGTGGGTCGCTGCAGCGATCTTGAGCAGCAAGCGGGGTGATGTTCCGCCCTGCCCCTGGGGTACATGAGATAGTTCAAAAAGTAATACTGAAAATTGAGTGCTTGCCAGTCTTGCATAAATCCAGATCATTTTCAAAAAATCTCCTCCAAGCACAGCAGCAGGACCAGCGAGAGCAGATTTTTGCAACGCCATTTTTTTTGCTCATTCGCAAGTCGCTCTGTGCTGAAATGAACGTATCACCTAGCTCGGAAAGAGGTTTCCAAGTAGAAACGAGTCTGCGCTTTGATCTGGAACGCGCGTGGAGACAGCAAGAGATAGCAAAGGGGTGTCTTAGTTCCAAAGCAGACCCCTTCTCAACACGAAGTAGGGTCTGTGCCTCCCTTGTTTTTCAATCATGTCTGTCTGCCTGTCTTGTCTGTCGGTGCAAACGGAGGTCGACCCACGGCATGCTCCTCTCTCCCGATACCCTGCCCTATCAACCTTATCAAAACGAATCCGTTCGAAACAGAGCAGCGCCGCCGCACGCCCACGCGCGCGATCCGACCCCGGTGAGGACACTGCCACTGGCCACGCCCGTGGACAGGGCGTCGGCGCCTTTGCGCCCGAGGGCGAGTGCCAGATACCCGGCGAGAAGGCCAAAACAGCGAGAAACTCGGGAACAAGGCAAACACAACCTCGACGACCGATGCAGAGCGCATGGCTCTTCTTCCTGCTGAGCACTTACAGACACAGCGCAAAGCCGGGAAATGGACAGGGCCCGTAACCGCCCACGGAGGGAAGTAGGAGACGCAAGGGAGCAGCTTTCCCCCTCGGTGTTGCCGGTACACGAGTTTGGCCAGCCCTCCTGCTCGAGCGGTGTGGTGAATCGAAAAACATCTCAACTCCAATCGCCAGAAGGCATGTTTTGTAGGGAAATAACCCCGCCCCCGAAAGCCCCTCTATCCCTCCAGCTCTCACTCACTCTCTCCCTCGCTCTCGCTCTCTCTCGGCGCATCCCGAAGGAAATAGATGAGCTTCGGGTCAGGCGGCGGCTTTGGGTCTGGTGGTGGCTTTGGCGGTGCCGGTGGGAGGGGAGGAGCTGCACCCTGTATCTACTTCCAGGTGACCCGGCGGCAGAAGTATATTTTCATCCTACTCTTGTACAGAGTCAAGTAGCAACAGTCCTCTGCACAACCAGTTGAGGTATGAGAAGAGGCAAGGGCTTGAGAATAACTGTAGGGCATCACCTGGGCCACTTGGTGCGCACGCTGCACCCTTCGGCAGCTTTGCTTTCTTGGGGTTAACGGAGAACGGACGCTGTGTTGCTCGCCTGCTAATTTGAAAAATTAAACAGCAGCCAGGTGTGTACATGAATCACACATGTTGCACTTGGAGGCGCTGCCAAAACACTTCATGAAGTGGGTCAATATGTTGACCATCTCGCCATTGCGGATGCGCGGACGTGGCCTTTCGTTGTCTTCGGCAGTCGGGGTGGGGTTGGCGCTGCAACGAGCCACTATCTGCAGAGCTTTACTACGAACAGTAACCCTGCCAGACACCTGATGTTCATGAAAGCCCCATAAGGAAATAATGATGGTTACACTAATTTCCCGTGTGTGTGCCCTCTGGTACCCACCATCCCCCCACGTGGGCGCGCGGCACCGCGGCGCTCACGCCCTTCGCCGACGCTTGCTCATGTGTCCTGCCCTTCGCCGACGCTTGCTCATGTGTCCTGTTCTCTCTGCGGTCGCTCCATCGCCTAGAGCTTCTCTTGTGACCTTGTTGGCGTTGAGTTGCGCACAAGCGATGTCTCGCAGCTCGCCGAGCCAATGTTTTCGCTCTCCGAGATGTCACAAAGGTACACGTTCTCTCGCCAGGCCCCGCCACTGCGCGTTTGGCGCCGGAGGTCACGTGCCAACTTGTGGCGCAGGCATCAAGTTTCAACAAACCATGGCGCGGTGTGTGGTTGAAACCCTGATGCCTTCGTGCGTCTTGGTCTCTGCGTTCCTTGGTGCGCCTCCCGATGTTCGCCATCGGTTTCCGCCTCCCATCGCCCCTGGTCGCCACTGGTGTTGTAGTGTAGCAGTCCACGCATCTCGCGCCACGCCGTCCTCCGCGCTGCTGCCGTACCCTTGTTCCCGTCATATCCACACAAGCACAAGGTTACAAGTAGGCCGGCCTGGTGACTATCACGTTTGAGTGAGGCCTCTCGCAGTGTTTTTTTTAAGCTGAAAAGTTCTAAGTTTGGCAAAAAAATCGCATCGCTGCTGTCGTCGCTTGGAGGAAGAAAGCAAGCAGGACAGTTTTTTCTGCCTGCCCGCGCTCTGGCTGGTGGTGCGGTTTGTCGCTTCGGCGGCGGGCACTCCTGAATGATAGCGGTGTGAACGATTTCAACGTGTGTTCTCCCACACCTCTCTATTGTGGAGGAGGGCGCCTGAGCTGCGACCGCTCTGTTACCTGCTGCAAGTGGATCGCTTCGTCGCCCCTCTAGCAAGTAGTCTAGGTCTATAATAGACTATCCCAAAGGTCCAAGCACCTCGACACATGTCAGACGAACCGCGAACACTGGTTGGGTCTCTTCTGATTGAGGCCCCGCAACTTTGCGCCCAACCCCAGTTCTGTAATCATGATCATTTGAGTAGGTAGGATTTGGAAAGCGATGTGCTCGCGGTAACACAGGACCTTACTTCCGCCATGACTGGATTTGCACCGTTAGTTAGGCACTTTGTCTGCATCATGCATGCTCGCAGAAACACCATCATCATCGTTGCCTTCTAGCGACTTTCAAGACAGGGGATTACGGTTGAAAATAGTTGCCGGCATGATATGATTTTGAGCTGGACATTCGTATGCCGCGACGTCTCTGATAGATGTATCATCAATCTCTTTGCATGCGTCCTCGCCGTCACAAATTCACCCAGAGGGTCAGGCCGGGTGTTGATGCGGGAGCACGCAGACTAGTCGTGTACGGAAAGCAGAAGTCTGCAATTTAACTGCTGTGGCTATCATGTTGAGAAGAAGTTTGTTTGGACCCTCATTTCGATCCGGAACTGTTGTCAAGGGAGGTATCGACACGTTCATCCAATCGTTGCAACTGTGCAAAACAAGTCGTCCCATCGGTCTCAACGCGTACCTACTCTTTACGGTCAGTGACGTAAGATACCACACCCCCCTGGACCCCTTCAAGGCTCGATTTCTCCACAGCAGAAACAGCAGTAGTGGTGGCAAAAATGGCGGCGTTGGAGCCGTCTCGTCGAGGGCTTTACATACCGCTACATTCGTGCATCCTTTTCGACGTGGAGTAGTCGAGCTTTGAAAATCGGTCCAGGGGGTGTGATATCTTGCGTCACCTGCAACGGTAGCGCAATCATTAACCACACGGTGAAGCACGCCGTCAAGTTGAGTATGCCCCGATCTCACATACCGCCCGCGCCTCCTCCTGTAGTCAAGACTGGCTACCTTTGTTAGTGGTGGGGTGGTGGACCCGTAGTACAGTCGCTAGTTTGCCCCCTGCACTACAAAAGCCCTAGGACTTTATCTTTCGCTTTGTACCGTATTTACCGTATTTAGAGGGAAAACACACCCGGCGGTGGGTCAGAGAATAGACTTGCCCAATTGGCAATGGGCGGTTTTGGTGTTCCTTGATGTTCGAGTCACTCTCAGATCGAGAGCGCGGAAAGCATGTGGACGAACATCATATTCGCTTGATCAGGCTTGGGTTATCCTGTTGCGTGCGCGGCTGTTTAGGCCGTTTCGAAGTGCCCTCCCTTTCTCCCGTCCCTCCCTGCCCCCGGGTCTGCGCTCCAGCATTGCCGGTGCCCCGTGTGTATGCTATCGCCTCACCCCGATCCCCTTGTTAGCCTTGGAACCGCGCCAGTAAAGTAGTGAGACGTTGGGGGTGGCTCTATTACCAGCAACGACGCCCCGTCTCGCGCTGAAACGCGTGGAGAGCAGTTTCACGAATGCTTGAAGTGGCGAAGAGTGAACCCCCCTCCCAACCCCCAATCCCCCTCCCGCCAGCCTTGTCACCTGGCGTGCCCCGCCCAGGTTCTGCTGCCGCGTGGGGTCTTTGCGTGAGCTACCGTGGTAGTTTCGTGACCACACGTGATGAACACTCTCCCCCTTGGCCACCAATGCCTTGGAGCCTACAGCAGTACAGCTCACAACCATGGTGATCAGCTCCGAACTCCATCCCCTCCCCTCTTTCCGTTCCGGGACACGCGCACAAAATTCAGCGGGGCTCGTGCAAGTACGGGGACAACTGCCGTTACGACCACGACCTGAGCAACACAAGCGCGAGCAGAAACGGCGGTGGCGGCGGCGGCGGCCCCGGCGCATCAGATGCTTCCGGGTGGGCCAAAGCTGGTTTCGGAAGCGGAGGCTTCGGTGGAGCTCCTCCTACCGGGAACGGCGGCAACCAGGGCCAACCCGCCCAAAGTCGTGGCGGGGGCTTCGGCACAGGTGGGGGTTTCGGGACCGGAGGCGGCTTTGCCACGGGCACGGGGTTCGGCGGTGGGGGGGGAGACGCAGCGGGGGGGGCAAAAGCTGGTTTCGGGGGCGGGGGCTTCGGTGGGGGGTCTGCGGTAGGGAACAACCCGAGCCAGCCCGCGGGAGACGCAGCGGGATGGGCAAAAGCTGGTTTCGGGGGCGGGGGCTTCGGTGGGGGGCCTTCAGCCGGGAGCAAGCAGAGCCAGCCCCCGCCGCAAGGTAGTACAGGGGGCTTCGGCGCGGGTGGGGGCTTTGCTGCAGGCGCGGGGTTCGGCTCGTTCGGTCCTGGGTTTGGCTCCAACGGGGGTGGGGTCGGTGGTGGGATAGGCTCACGGGAAGGTGGGGCAAGGGCCGGCGGATCCAGCGACACGCGCTTCGGCAACAACGGCTTCGGCCCCACGGGCAGCGGCTTCCGTTCCTCGGCAGGTGTGTACCCGGTTCACGTTCTGATTGTTGTTCGTCGTGTTCTTGCTCGTGCGTTCTCCGAGTCAGGGCGAATCTTGGCTGGGTTCTTGGGGTCCCCGTTCGGGGTTCACACCTCTTCTGCCCCATTGGAGGGCAACGAAACAGGAAATATCAATATTTTCATGAACTGGTCAGGACCGGCGGTGTCGGCCTTCCTTCGTTGTCTTGCTGGTGTCACTACTGGCACCGTGTCTGACGAGCATTCCCTCCCCGTTGACGACGTAAATGTGTCTTATTCAATCCAAATCAATCGAAAAGGAGACGGCGGCCTCATTTGCAAGTGCAGCAACCGCCAATCACAAGCAAGTTTTGCGAGTTGATGAACGCCAATGTTCCCACGGTATGCCCGTTCCCAGCGGGAAACCTTGCCGGGCAACTTGCACCTTCCGTTCCAACTGCGTCCTTCGTTCTCGCTGGTGAAGACGTTTTCAAGGTCAATGTTATGCAAACGAGGTACCACTTTTGTCGACTTTGACTACTGCTGTGGAGTATTTGCCTTGCCGTTTGAATCCCCCCCTTCGGATAATCTTATATCTGCATCTGAAACAGCCAACATAAACGAAGCACCAAAAATAACGCCAACTAAAGCGAGGCTAGAGCCTAAAAAAATTAATACAGGGTAATATTCTTAAAAAAAAAAACTTTCAGATAGGGCTGAGTTAAGATTACAAAAGGCGCAAGTTTCTTTTGATAAGCTAAATATACTATGGATAGGGCTCAATCTAGACTAGATGGTGCTGAAAATGTTTTTAAAATTTTCCCCCCCGTTGTTTACCATCGGGGTTGGGTTTTCGTCGCTTGGCAACAATGTTGCAAATCAAGCGCCAATGGGTTGTGGAAACAACTGTCCAAATACGGGATCTAGGGGAAAATGTGGAGAGTGCTGAAGAAGATGACAGAGTGTACGAAAAGCGCGGTCATGCTAGACGGAGAACTGTCAAAATTCTTCGACATTGAGCAGGGGGTCCCACAAGGTTGCACGCTGTCCCCAACATTGTTCCAGGTGTTCATCAACGATCTGTTGGAAGTCGTAGAGGCAGTCCGGAAGGGAGTAAAAGT